TCCTAACACAAACGAGTCAGCCAGCTCTTGGTCGTACCTACATGAATAAGCCGCTTGAACATTTCATTAGCTGGTCTCACTGTGCCAACAATTTCTCCAGGAATTCCGTGTGTGACTGGCGATGTTTATTTATCCGTCGAAGCGAATTTCTGAAATGTTCATTCATCACGAAATTGAAATGGAGTTGGGTTTTAATTTTAAAAAAATTGTATTATTATATTTGGTTAATAAACAAGCATTAACGTTGAACAAAGGGTAAAAATTAAATTATTGACATGAAAACAGTGAAAACATCCCTCGGTGAAAAGCTTTTTCAATAACTCCCTAGTCGCCAAACTCTAGAATTCGTTAACTAAATGCCTTGAGGTTTAGCACATCTGCCGCCCTATATACTTAAAAACCGACTTTTATGTTAAGAAAAACATAATTTTTTAGAATAAAAATATTTATTAACAGGTATTTTAATTTAAAAAATACATACCTTATTGCAATTTGAAAAACGCTTTTACTATTTTTTTAATGCATGCAGTTTAAATGAATTATTGAGACATTATATTATTCTATGTAGAAAGAAAGTATTTTCTTGAATACATTAAAAATAAGGGGAAATCTAAAAAAATTTAGGCTGATTACTTCCAATAAATCTCCTCATACTTAGTTTAAGTTTAAAAAAAATTTAATAATCACGTAATAGCAGCGTCTCCTAATTGCATTATGAAATTGAAAAATAATTTTGCTTGTGAATTCAAGAAATTGTGGAGGTTTTGGTAACTTCGGGAAACAACACAGATTACTTTGAATTATTTTATTCACACAAGATTACGGTACACAGTTACAACTCAATCGCAAAAGCAAGACTCGTCTTAACTCGTGTTGCTTCACCACCAACTCCAATTCTCGATACTAACAAATAACAATCTAATCGATACTGCAATGTGCTGTCAAGGAAAGTCTATGGTGGTGACGCTGTTATTGGAGTATTGACATAATTCTCAACAGTGTCCCAACTATCAACCTATCCGACCCGAACTCCCACGTGGCGATCTCGTGCCGGCCGGGATGAATCTTGAATTAAATCACCACTTAGTATGTTGAGTTAAAACGCAACAGTTGATAGACGCGGGGTCACCAAATGTGGAGGTTTTGGTAACTTCGGGAAACAACACAGATTACTTTGAATTATTTTATTCACACAAGATTACGGTACACAGTTACAACTTAATCGCAAAAACAAGACTCGTCTTAACTCGTGTCGCTTCACCACCAACTCCAATTCTCGATACTAACAAATAACAATCTAATCGATACTGCAATGTGCTGTCAAGGAAAATCTATGGTTATGACGCTGTTATGGAGTATTGACATAATTCTCAACAAAATAATTACGTATTTTTTTAATCAATTAGTTCGACTTGCCGAACTGGAAAATCTGATCAGAACCAAAACTGAGCTGGTTCTCATGGATCCGTTTGTTTTTATGTACTTGATGTGTACGAGTGCACAAATCCTGCCTTTAATCGTTTTAGTGTGAGACACTAAAGTTCCCTCTCTAGTATTCCAACGGTCCAGTATGCCTGCTTGATTTTGTACATAGTTATGTGCCCGATAAAAACTCTAGTACGATTTCGGTATCAATTACTGTTTTCTTCGTTTATCCAACTACCACACGTTTATTTCATTTTTGACGTTAACTTTTATTTAAAATTGGGCTGGATACACGCATTTGTTATGTATGACCCTTTTCCCGTCAATGAATTGTTGTTTGGTGAAGTTGACACCTGTTGTGCAAGTGTGTATAGATTGGGTTAGGTTATGTCGGCTAAGGGATGGGCTAGGTTAATTAATGATTAACTTAGGTAATGGACGGGTTATGGTCAAGTTAGGTGTTAGGGTTAGTGCTAGTGGCCGGCTAGGGTGAGGTTACATTTCCTTGATTCAATTTTGATAAAATGTGTGGATGCAAAGCGCCAGATTTTAATTGTAAGTAAAAAGGTTTCTTGTGGAGTTTTCAGATTTCTAGTGATTGCCAATTCTTGTTCATTCATTTTGTAATATGTTTTACTTACAATAGTTGGTGAATAATTCCGTGGAAACATATTGCTTTTAAGATGAATGGGCTTTCCCGAACGTTTTCACATTAATTACTAGATTAAAATTTTTACTAATTTAAAATGTAAGGTACTCTACAGGAGATTTGTTAATTAGGAATATGAAGCCACTTTCCTTCAATAATATAAATTGTATACTATTTATTGTTAATATTGTTGTTGACAATTAAATCCAAATTCAAATTCGTACAATGTCTAGGGTTTACTGGTTATTAGGGTTAAATGATTACTTCTTTTTTTTTAATTTGTCCCTGGTTAAACTTGAAATGGAATCCTCGACAACGAAACTGAGATGGCAAGAATCGCAGACCCATTGGTGATGCACCTATCCATAAGTTTTGTCTTGTATGAACTACACATTTATCTTCTTCACATATAAGGAATGTCGATCTAACTGGGCAAATTTTCTCACATTTGAAGTTTTGGGCTAATGTCTGCTGGAGGGGCCATTCCGCTGGAACTACTTGCGTTTCAAATTTTAAGGCCGGACCAATTAAATATTGATCTGATTTCTCCAGCACCCCGTAATTGCATAATTGTTCTAATTTATTTCCATTACTTCCAATTTGATCGGAATAATTTATTCGCCATAGCTTGAAATCAAATTTGTGCGTTTTGTTATACGGAGCTGCTTTGCGGTTTTGCCTAAATATGTTGATTGCGGTGTTAAATTTAAGCCTTATGAAGATATTATTGTTTTATGAACTCATGTTTGCGCGCGCGTGGGGGGGGGAGAAATAGAATTTTTTTATAAATATTGTAATGAAATGTAAAAAGATAAAAATAATTTCAATTCTGATTTTACTATATTATAACGAATTTATCTTAAAATTAAAAAAAAATCCTTGAACAGAAATTAAATTAAACAGGGTGAATTAATTGAAAAAAAGCAGATAAGCCGTTCTAATAAGCCAATGAAAACCTTTTACTTAAACTTTACTAATTGATCGATTGCAATGAGGATAAAATTTGTGGGCAGACATCTTCGTAAAGATCGTATGTGGAATACATTACCATTGAAAATACTTTCACACAAAATCAATCACAAAGTAAGAACATTTAATGTTTTAGAATATATATTTTTTTTAAATTTTTCTTAATTTTTTGGAACCATTATGATATAAATATTAACTTCATACCTTTAATTGTAACTTGTTGGTTGTTATGAATCGCGGAATGGAATATTATTATAATTTGTACCATTGTAATTTTACTTGGTATTATGTTACATTTTCATCATGTATGTGCATTATTATTACACCACACTCATTTCATTTTTATTTGAAATTTACCAAGTAATGAGAATAGCAATATAAATAATTGAAATGTTCTTTAACATTTAAAAAAGTAAACATTTAAATGCGGCACGAATAAAATTATTTTAACGCGCATGAATGAGATAAATTAAATGTTATTCGACGAGATTATATACAATTAACTATTATTTGGACAATCGGACCACGAACTCTACTGAATTATAAATAATATAAACCTCAGAAAAAATATTCCACGATATACGTTTCAAAAAATATTGAAGTCTTACTGGCAATCATTATTTGACATTGATTCCCTAGTCGCTAAATGGTATGGATTTACAAGATAACCGAATTTCTATTGGTGATTTGCTTACAAAGCACAAATCATTTTTATCGAGGGTTAACGACAAACGAGATGGACGCCGAATGAAAAAAAAAATAGAATTGTAATGCAGTTAAGCACCGACCACGAGGAAGTCTAAATGGACATTCCCTTCAATCAAATCGATGGGCAGACGAATTTAGCTGCATTCTTCGGCATAATACTTTAACTAAAAAAGAAAAATCAGATATTATTTGTTTATATGTTAGCTTAATGAAGCAATTTTATTTAGATTTTTCTTTGATGTTACACAATACTTAACATATTGTGATAATATAAAATAATAAATATATAAAATTTTAAGATCATCATTTAATATCGATCATTTATAAACACAATTAATTCAAGAATTCTTGGAGGTTGTTAAGAGCTAGCGGCAAAAGATTGCTCCAAGTTCTTAAACAAACCGCAAAACAACCATAATATTAATTACAATGGGTTCTACCAATAAAATTGGTTTCAGTTGAATAGGTGAAATTGGCAAACATAATAGCACGATGGTATTAAAACTTATCTGAAAAACATTGTGGATTAAGTCTCAAAAATGAACAATTATAGCTGTTAACATAAATTTAATTGAACATCGGTTTCCAGAAGGTAATTAGTGACCACACAATATAATTAATTAGTTCACAAATTTGCTGTACACTTAAATGTATAGACTAAGCCCGTATTTACTTCCTTTGGTCCATCAACTTAATTTTGGGTTTAACTATAAGCGATAGCTGTAGTTTATTCATTTAACAAATAATTTAAAACTTTTGGTTAAAAATTTTGGAAAAAGGTGATGTGAATTGCGTCTTGATATTAGTCTACCTTAATTTTGCTTTATGTCCAAAATGGTTTTAAAGTAAAATCCAAATGATAAGTACATTTTTTTTACAACTAAAGTGACCCAAGGCTGCACATTTCAACCCTTAAGTGCCCAGTGGCAAGGACCGATATTATATGCCTCATATTATCAATTTATCCCACATAAAAAATNATATATATACTATAAAAATACAGGCGCAAACATATAAATAAAATATTATTCACTTGTGTAATATTTACATTTTTCAATATTTGTACAGTGGGATTTGTCAAGTAAAACAAATAATACGGCGTACCGTCGAGTTTCCTCTCTTTGTTTCCTGAAATTGGGCAACTTTGAGAAAGCGATGTGTCCCTCGGCAATGTTTGTGCAGAATCTATCGGCATTATGGACACGTAGGAACATCCTGGAGGGGTCTCACTTACTTATATATATGGCACTTTCGCCTTTTGACCTGTCACTCAGGGCTAAGAGATGGAATTATTGCCACTTACCGTAAGTACAGTGTCTTAGTCCATTGTAAATACAGTAAAATCTTTTTAATTTTCTAACTAATTTCTGTAATATATTAGGCAAATAATGTTTTCAAATATCGACTATATCTATTTTCATTTTAATTTAATAACTCATTACTAAGTTTTTTTAGAACGATTTTAGATAATACATTAATTCTACTTATTTAACGTTTTGTTATACCATTTTATTATTAAAATTTTTATAAAATAATAAACTTTAATAGTAATAGTTTTATCCGTACAAAAATTGCTGAAAATAATATAAAAGCTAATATAAAATTTGAACGCGAAGCGATGTTTACTGCCACTTGGAACTAGTTTGCATTTCCAAATTATAGATTTCGAAAGCAAAATTTAACTAGATAATTATTCAGAAATTGTGAGATGCGGTCTGGTGTGATGTAGGTTTCAGAAAAACATTTTCTTTATCGTGGCACTTTCTGAATAATCATCAACTAACGGTCACTAATCACCCCACATTTAACTAGATTGAAAAAAGTATGCTCAATTCTTTTTAAAATACATGTTTCAAGTAATTAATTTTTAAATATATAAATGTACGATGACCACGGACTATGTCTGGAATGAAACATAATACCATCGTATTTTAATATATCTATGGTCGTATAGTCAACCACTAAGAAATATTTAAACCGTTTGTTTATCCATCAAATGGTTTTAATTGCTTATTTTTCATAAATGTAAAGAAAACGACATTACTTTTCTCTTGAAGCCTGTTAAAAATAATAATTTAGCTTTACCGAATCACATAGTAAATTAAATTTCAATGATTACAAGTTTTGGCTGCATCACTGACGAAAATATATATCTAGTCTTCCTTCGTCATGGAAAAAATTAACTCAATTTCGATTAACTATGGTAATAGTTTGTTGGTAGCTAATTTTATTGACCTAACAAGGTAATTCAGAAAAAACGTATAGTTTCAGTCACAATTATACCATAATATTTAAAAATATGTTCATTTAGAGTTAAATAATATAAATTATTAAAAATGGTTTTCTCACAGCCGATGTTTGACATTGTCGACATTTTTATTTTATTTTTGTTACTCAGTTTTTGAGAGTTCACTAGGCCATCGTCTCCTCAGTCTGCGGGCAGGGCTAGGCGTAGGATGAGAGTTTTTTTAAATTAAATGCACGTAGTGATTTCTATGAAATTTACGGTAACGGAATTCAGTTACTTTTGCGGATTAACATAAAAATAACAGACGAAAAGGAAAATTAACGTAATTATTGAAAAATGGGTTTACTATCTAACTAGCAAACCTGTTTCTGATATTTTGCTTGTCTCAAAGCTCAAGTTATCTCAAATGAAACCTTTCGTGCAATGAGGAAATCAATCATGGATATCCGAAAAACAAATGTACACATAAGCTGATAAATGTATAAATGTGGCATGGATAAATATGCTATTTAAGACCTTAAATCAAACTTTTCGACTGCGTATACGTATATAGAAATTTTGTCCCCTTACATTTTTTTTTAAATTTTGCATTTATGCTTGGCGCTAACTATTAAAAAATATTAAACTATTTCCCTTTCTTATGGCACATTAACAACAAACAAAAATTAGCAAAGGTTGTATAGAGTGGTGAAGCTACCCACTAGTATTCTAGCTCTATAAGTATATTATACTAATATTTTAGTAATTGATTTTTTAGGTTTTCACATATTCTTTTCCTTTCATTTTTACAGTTCAGTACGTTTCGAGTTCGTTTTTTTGATCCGCGGACAGTGTTGGATGAAATATGACGGAAAAATAGTTTTTCAATGAATGGGTTTGTAGTGATAGGGGTTTTTGTGAAATTTGCGGTAACGGTTTCTAGTTAAATAACGGACATATAAAATATTTAAAGCTTTCTTTGTAGTTTCATTTCATGCTTAAAATATTGATTTTTTGTAATATTTTCATAATCTAGTTGAGGCTATAAATAAACCTTACGTTGGAAGTATTTATGTTTGACATGTCACAACACGCGTCGACTTCTAAATTGTCAACATATACTTTTTCAAGCTTCATGTCTAAATTTATTTGATAAAGCAACATCAAGGTGTATAAATCGTTTTATCTGTCTCGTATTGCGAACTGTAACGGTGGATATAATCTAGCCTGTTTGACAAAAAAAAAATATATATATATATATATATAATCACAATATTAACAATAATATTTCGAGGGGGGCGTCGATTTCGTCGCAACGGTTAGACGTTGACACGGCGCTCATGACTGTAAGGTAAAGGTCCCGGTAAAAAATAAATAAATCATATTTCGAGTGATTTAAAGGAGTTACAAGGTCCCCAGTGTTAGTTTCGAAGAGCACTTTTCAGCTTTCTTAAATTTATTTATATGAGATTTAGGCCTTTTCCCAAATTCTTATGCCACTGTTTTCTGCTAGGTTTGAATAAGAGTTCTGCGTGCAAGATTTCTTTTTTTTTGGTAGGGGATTTTTTGAGATTGCTGGAACGGGAGAAAAAGAAAATAGGGTTAATAATCTACAATGCCCAAAATTGAAATTGAAATAAGGAAAAATTAGCTCTCTCCAAAAAAAAAGAGGATAAAGAAAAATTGTTAAAAAATATTGTTAAGTTGAATTAGTTTATTTTTAGTATTTGAATGGAACAGTAAAAGGATAACTATGCTGAGACTGATGCTAATATGAATTAAGTATTTAATCATGGAATCAGAGCATTATAGCTCTTAGAAGGGATATAACTAACCTAAGAAAGAATACTGAAATGTTAGGGCGTGATGAATGACCTTCGCTGTTAAAACGCTTTTAAAAATTAGTAATATAGAATGTAACTGGCTATTCTTCAACTAACATGTCCTAACCTATATTACCATTATTGAATCATCACTTTTTTTAATTTTTATGGGATCAATGTTGGCCTTATTTAGACATGAGTGGTGTTTAGTGACCGTTAGTTAATGATTATTCGGAGATCTTGAGATGCGGTCTGGTGTGGCGTAGGTTTTAGAAAACCATTTTGTTTATCGTGCCAACGTTTCGATCTTTATTGAGATCATCTTCAGTGTTCAAAGTGTTTGTTTTCTGCGTCGTTGTGTCATTCTTGTGTGCCGTGTTGAGAGTGCCAGTCATTATTATTATTAAAATTGCGTATACAAGATCAAGGAGAATATCATATATAAGGAAAAATGACAGAAATAAAAAACTCAATTCATCAAACGTTCGAAGAAAATTTGCCATTCATCAGGACTGAAAATATTTTAACGATTTACACGATTAGCAAATATAAACATCTACTTGTAATTTTTAACATAATCGCTTCAACCGTAATGAACGTGATCTCATCTGACTTTTATACATTACAACGGTATGTCTATATTCAAAGTGCAGACAAAGGGGATTTTTCTTTCTTTCGAATTATCCATATTCCTGATCTTTTGTATAAATTACTTTTTTTAATACTCGCATAGAAAAGTGAAATACTTGGCTGTATAATATATTATCTTTACTTACATAAATTGGAAACATAGGACAATAAACATTTTTTAAACCTGTCTCAGAGCCTGTTTCCAATTATGTTGACGCAATATTTGCCTATTTGTGAGTGGATTGTTCACCGTATGCCTCACGGATGTTCTATATGTAAAAGCAGTATCGTCGGCTTTGGAAAAATCATACGATGTTTAAATTATCGACTTGTCGGATAAAGGTCTTAAAAAAAATGAGTCGTTTCAAAACCTGTCGGATACAGACTGACCTTTCATTGAAAACTCTTGACGGACGAAACTGTATATTGTACCTGTCCGTGCGTGGACGTGCGTATGTAAAACCTTGGGGGATTTTACTTTGTCCACTTAATTGATTACCTTTCATCCGCCGCTAAATTAATCAGAAAGACTAGCGTTTAGCTAATCAACACTGAAAGTCATTCGGTTAGGATCTCTGACATTTATTGTAGGTGAAAAAAAGGAATCATTCAAATAAGATGTAATTTGCACCTACTTTGCAAGCCTCGATAACTGAAATGAAATTAGACAAAATCTTTTCTACAATTTGGCTAAGTACTGTCTGCTTACCAAAAAAAAGAATGGACAAAACTATAAAATAGAGAATATAAGAACTGTACGTAATGAAAGATAGAATGATAGGTAATTTTTTCCGATCAAAACAATATTGCTTCTTTTATATATTAAAAATTTGGTTAATCTATTTTGGGAAAGTTTAATAATTGAAATAATTGACCACTTTTTGTTCCTCAGTTTTCCACATATTTTCAAGTTTTTGCAATATTTTAATTTTAAGTGCATAGAAGACCGTGAACTTTTAATGGAGACGTGTTAAATAAATAAATAAGGTAAGCAAGTTTTTAATTCCAGATATTAAGGCGATCGGTTAGACGAAAGTCCAATGAAATCCGCATTCCCTTGAAAAGCCGATAAATTATTCGGCAAGATCATATTTGTAATAAAGATCCGGGAAACTCTGACCAACGGCCCACTAAATTAAATTAATTCGTTTAATTTATTCAATACATTGAAAGATAAAGTAATTAGAATAATGACAAAATCGTTAATAAATCATGACATAATGGCACTGAGATAACTTTACACATCACTTCGTAATAGATTAATGCACTTATGATTTATTAATATATGATTTAAATTATTTAATTTACAAATTGTTAGCCTAACCAGTTTAGTCTTTTTATGAATTCACGTCCAACGATAGACTATTTCAAACGAATAAATTTAAATTCTCTGTTCCGCGGAAAACTCACTTCTTGAATTATTAAGTCCTACCTGACCTGTTTGGTCAGGATCCTTTCACTATTCTTTGAACATGTGACATGCTCTCAGAGAGTGCAAGTAGTTAATTATTAATTAATTTATTAATTATATGTGTATAACTGGTTGTCTTGTTCAGACGATTTATTATTATTTTACTCTATTAGTTCTTCTCTATTTTCCTATTTCACTTATTACGACTCACGATCAATGTTCCTCAATAAAAATATATTGTCCTATATTTACAATTATATGTTTATTTTTAGAGGATTTCAGTAAATCTTGCTTTACTCCGTAAAACTGGAAAGGACGTCTAATTTTATAACAGTATGGTTTAACATTGAATTTAGTATAGTTGTTTCAACCTTTCCTTTAGCCTTTTTTATTATATATTATTATTGTTATATATTATATCCTCAGATTCTAAACTGTTTAAACTTCAAATTGTCCCAATACCTGTACCTAATAGAAAAATGTAACAGTTAAGTAACTTCAATTCAAAATACATAAAATATTCTTTCATATAGACGGTAAAATATTTATTTTTCAATCAAAATTGTTGAAAATGAACTTTAAATATGCAATATTTGACGTAAATTAGTTTCTAATCACAGGGATTGGATGAAAGTTTAAAAACAAAAATGTCGCCTTGGGAAAAAATGATAAACTGGTCCGCCGGAAATTTTTTCTAAACAGAAAAGCAAAAGAGCTCTCTATGTACGATTGTTTGACCAAACTAGTCGAAGGATAAAACCAGTACAAAAGCCAGTATAAAAATATTATAGCGCAATATTGCCTTATTCATGATTTTTCCGTAATGAATGTTTTGTTTTGTAATGTATATATACTAATTTTCTTCAAAGAAATTTTTCTCACGCTATCTGTGTGAAAATATTTTTATTGAAAAACAAGATAAATTATAGAGTAACAATTACTCAACCACTTATTTTTGGAATCAAGAAGTCTTGATTTCCAAAAACTACCATTACTTTAAATCGCTCTCTCTCTCTCTCTCTCTCTCTCTCTCTCTCTCTCTCTCTCTTTCTCACTCTCACTCTTACTCTCTCTCACTCTCTCAATCTCTCCAGTTTTTCTCTCTTTCCCTTTTACGACAATACCTCTCTCTTTATTACTCTCATTCCCTCCATAGTATATTTTACTGATACTCAGTCTATTTACTTCAAGTTGTCAAATTCTAATCATAAAACAATTTTTTTTTGTTTTATTTTTCTTTCGATATTTCTCGAAAGCATATTCAAACATAGTACTAATTTAACAAATCACTACTTCCTTTTAGTTTAGTTTTTAACTGAATTTTCAAATACGATAATTATTTGACAATCTTTATTTTATTAACTAATCTTACGTTAAACCGTTAAATATCACGACTCTGTTTCTTTCCTTTTTTCTATGTCCCTACCAGTGTAACTTATAATATCTTTTACGTTATTTTTCACTTTCTTCTCAACGTCTTTGATAGCAGATAGAAATAGTATGGAGAATGAGACTTGTAGAAAAAACTTAATTGTTAATTTATATTCGTAGTGTAGATGAACCAATGTTTTATATGCTTTCAGGTGTTTGCCGTTCTTTCTACGGCAGTTTTGTGTGAAGAACTTGCGACAGAGGTTAAAAGGGAGAAAAAAGACATTTCAAAACTTCAAAATTTAGGCCTCAACTATGGTGAAAATAACTTAAATTAAAAAATGAGTTAGTTATATTCAGGTTAATATTTTTGTTGTAGGTAACAAATTTAACAAAGGATATTACCCTTCTGGAGGCTATTTACCACCTAGTTATAACTACGACTACAACTACGATAGAAGACCTTTCTACCCGACTCCACAGTGCGATTGCCGTGTATCCCCACCGCCACCTCCACCGGCTCGCTGCGGACCTTCCTTCTATCCCGGCCCATCCGGTTTTGGTCAACAGACTTTTTCAAGCGCCTCCAAAAACTACTACCTTCCTCCGAGACCTGCTCCATTTCCACCATCGGCCACCGTCGATGACACCCTCGTCGTCTACCCTGCAGGCCCGCCTTCTGTGACAGTAAATGCGGTCGCTCCAGTCTTAAGCGCACATTCGCCCAAAGCAGTCGAAAGTTCCGGCTACAACTATGCACGCCCCACGGTGCCCTTCAATTAAAAATTAACGATTTTGTATTTTTAACAGGAATTAATATATGATTAAAAATAATATTTGTACGAAGTTCAATTATTTTCTTTTAAGTCTGCGTAAGTGGAGAAGGCCAAGACAAACATAGTGATAATATGATACAAGGCCAGTTGATGATAATGAATGTTCATGAAATAAAAACGATTTTTAAAAAATAATTTATATACATTAGACATGTATGCAATAGGTTAAAACCCTTCTCAGGTCATTTTCTAGACAACTATCGGAAGTTTTGAAATTCAGAAAACATTGAAGTTTTTAATAAACAATTAAAGCCAGCATGACCTGTAATAAACCATCGGATATGCAGTACCATGACTGTCCACCTCATGTTAGAATATTCTTAGTAACCGGCCAAATATGTATGAAAGTTATGTTCTAATGTGTGGTATTTAGTGACCGTTAATTAATAATTATTCAGAAAATGTATTGTCGAATTGAAAACTGTTTGATAATACGACGAAGTATCGACCACACTACACCAAATTCTATAAATGTATTAATAAACCTAAATAATTTGGCAGGTCCTGTGTACATGTATCATTCCTGTTTGTTATGATGAGAGTGCCCCCGGCACACAGAAATGACACATCTGTACAGTACACAAACACTATGAGCCCTGAAGATGATCTGAATAAAGATCGAAACGTTGGTACAGTAAATAAAATGTTATTCTAAACCTACTACTCAGCAGACCGCATCTCACGATCTCCAAATAATCTCATGTTCTAATTTAGAAAAATGATCAGTGTCTTTGGTGTGGCAGGTCACAAACAGTGAATATAATATAGATAAATATATTACGTCGATATTTACATGTTTTTCATAAAAAGAAGAAGAAGAAATTTTGCAATCGAAAAGTGTACTAGTATGAATAGGGAAGAGAGTGGAAGACAACAAGTAGAGATTACCCCCATCACAAACATACGATAAATATGCGAGGTACCAGTAATGGCCATAGGTGCTGACCGGCAGGACGGGCCAAATTATTTATGTTTATTAATACACATATAGAATTTGATGTAGCGGGGTCGATACTTCGTCGTACTATCAAACAGTTTTCAATTCAGTAAATTTTCTAAATAATCGTTAATGAACGGTCACTAAACACCACACATTAGAGCATACATATTTGGCAGGTTACTAAGAATATTTTAACATGAGGTCGTCATGGTACTGCATACTCGATGACTGCCCGAAAACGTTCATACATACCTATACTACTTATCCACTTAAAACATGCACTCCATTCTCGCTAATAATTACATTCACTCCAATAAATACATTCATCCACTACTTAAACTATTAGTGATCTCTATGATAAAAAATAAATTTTCATAAAGATCTTGTTATGTTTTCATTTTATTAAATAAGGCGAACATAGATATTTTGAACACATTATCTGATTTCATTGTGAATCAAAGAAACTAAACATAAGAATTAATATAACTAACACATACTTTATGATTAGTAATCAACAATATTTGAAAAGTTCAACTGTGTTCACCTTATATACCAATCACTCAGTATTGGCTAATATATAAATAATAATTATAGGAAAATGAATATAATTCCAGTGAAATGTTATTATTTAATAATTTCATTATTCACGAATCAGTAAAAAAAAGTATTACAAGTAATTATCATGAAATATTGAAACAACAGTTATTTTCTAACTTTGAGAATTTTGTTTCGACAATATATAATGTCTACATGGATTGAATGCGTTAATTAATTGAAATTTAATAATACACAATTTAAAAGTTGATGGGATGTACAATATCATAGCAATCCCAGCCAGGACTAATTAAAAGCTGAAAATACTGTGAAAATATTTTGTTTACCAACTGTTTCAGCTAGTGAAACGACAACCATGTGAAAATTCACTTATTAAATCATAATGTTTTGTTGATTTTTAACGATTTTACAGCTCGACAGGCATTTTTATAAGTCTTGAAGATGCTTGACACTGATGATATCACAATGACATTTATGATTATTGTATGATTTATTGAATCAAACAGTAATTGAAGATGAATATGCAATTAATATGAATTATTATCATACCTGTGAATTATTAAGTGCTAATGTACTAAATCTTGTAATTAAATTAAATATCAAGCAAAATGTAGACTAGATTAAACGTTAAAGTAATAAAATAAATTTGACACCTTTTTAGGAATATTATAAAATGGCAGATTTTTTCCGAGGCATGTTAGAAATGTTTTAGCAAAAATGAGGCCGAGGTAGCTGAAGCAATCGCTATGGTACCGTTTTTAATGTGTTTAGGCGCTTTAAAAATAAGTACAACATACTGGTGACTAAATTTAAATTAAGAGTAACGTTTACTAGTCAGTAGCAAAAAGTGATCATTAAAGTATTTTATTTAAAAACGTACTTTTACAAGTTAAATTAAGGATAACATCTAAATTTAAAAAACTGTAATGTCCTTCTTAAGGGAAAATGTAGACTGGATTACGGAAGTCTTTCTTCTTGCATTTATATGCCGTGCATAGGCGGTGCCTCGGCCTACCTAACAGGAACAATAATTTTTTTTAGAGCAGGAAAATATCTTAACATTATTTTCTGCTTTATTTATTCAATGACCAAAGAAATACGATATGGTACAACCTTGTTCCTGACTGGTCTGGGTTTTATTGACAAATTTGGACTTTTTCATTAGCAAGGAGTACAAGGCGAATAACTGGTTTGCCTCCTTCAAACGAATTTTGAAGATGCGATTTTTAAAAAGTTTTCTCTCTTACCACTCTTTTTATCTCATTCTGTTTCCAACTACCCATCTATTTCCTACATCAAACCATGGAAGATTTTATACCTCCTTTCAACATGAAATATAATTTCCGACCTTGCTAACTAATTTGAAATGACCTAGAAATTGTGTCGCTACTGGTTTGTGGTTGGTTATACACAAAATATTTTACTTAGGAAATAAATTGGTTTGGTATCAATATCTTTGGTAATTGAAAACCAGACGAATCATTTCACTTTATTTAGCTTATACCTCACTTCTCCCTATTCTCCCTAGCTCTTTCTCACTCTCTCTCACTCTCTCTCTCCCCCTCATTCTCTCTCTCTTTCTCTCTCTTTCTCTCTCTCTCTCTATCTATCTATCTATCTATCTCTCTCTTCGTCTTTCTCTCACACCTATACTTAATACCCGATGCTCTAACCACTTGAGCTATCGTAGTCGTGGGATCGAATCCCACTCGTGACCCTAATTTTTCATATCAACCATGATCATCAACTTTACATAAAAATTATAAATTAATTTGTAATTAAAAATATTAAGAGTTGCCACTTTTTTGTCTCCCAGTGTATAATACAGACAGAGCATATTGATAGAGTATCGATTTAATATTTGAGCCCAGTAGTAAACAGTCTTATACTTTACAAATTAAAAGCCTCAGTTTGAAAAGTAGCCTTTTTTATTATTAGATAAATATAACTGTAAATAATTTTCGCTTTATACAAGAAGCTAACTTTTCGGTGAAACGGTTGATACACATAATTATTGCTAAGACTTTCCCAATAATAATTTATTAAATTTTTATTTAAGTAAATTATTACCCATAATAATTTATGGGTTGTGACAATTTTGACTTTGGAGTCGATAAGCCCGAATCAAGAATCGAATCTCGATGGAAATAAAAAGTGAAAAAACTTTCAGGATCTAATCTTCCGCTTTGAAAGGTACGTGTTCCGAAGTTTGATAATCAATTTTATAATATGTTAAGTTATACGACAGCATTATAATTACTTTAATTAAACTTACTATATCAATAATGTGAGAATATTGATTAATTAAAACTGAACTAAAGGCATGTAAGTAGGTAATTTGTACTCCAAGAAAACATAAAAATGAGAATCATAGCAATTTTAAAAATTTTCTATACAGTAATCATATAGTAGAATATAATTATGCACAAGCATTGTTTTGTTTAGTTAAAACTTATTTTACATCATTTGTTTTCATCTACAATTATATATGTTTTAAATATAATCAGCAATTGGATTTAAATTTTTGATGGTGAAGTTATGGGCATTAAAGGGAAAGCTACCCATTGCTAGCCACTCTGGCTTAATAATATGTTATTTATCATTTAAGATATGTCTTATCCACGTTCTTTTCGGTCCTCTAGGCGTTAATCGTACTTGTGTGCGCATGTGATCTTGTAATTTACTGTGCAAACATCTGTATTATATTCATTCATATTTGCTGTATTATATTGCTCATAATTGACCATATTAGTTATTCCAATTAATTATTTTTTTTATCAAAGGTTTTTGGTTGAGATGAATAATTGGTGTCACGAGCGGGATCCGTACCCACGACCATCGGCTCAATAAGCCGCTGTTCTAACCACTTTTTAGCTATCGTGACTTACAACCTCACGTCACACATAAAATATGATGAAAAAATAGTTCGTATGTGAATATCTCTGTGTAATATGACATTGTTTACCTAAGAAAGAGCAGAAAACAATTAGTTGGAAAATCTAAAATTTAAAATATTAAATTCACTATTTTTTTTGGTCCGCTTGACCAATTAATAACATTCAATTAATTAATGTTTTAAGTTGAGATAAAAAAGTCAGTGTCACGAGCGGGATTCGAACCCACGACCTTCGGCTTGATACGCCGCTACTCAACCACTTGGGCTATCGTGACTTCGATCCCCTCGGGCACTAACTTCCCATCTCAAACCCACCTTTTGAATTTTCCCTCCTTTTTGCCATTTTTCAAATGTCGTGTTATCGGATTTGATTCTCGGCGACAAATGAAATGGCCTCGGAGAACTATAGAGAAGTATACTTGATTTTAATTCATTAAAATCATCCGAGGCCATTTTCATTGCCTGAGGGGATCGAAGTCACAATAGCTCAAGTGGTAGAGCAGCGGCTTATCAAGCCGAAGGTCGTGGGCTCGTATCCCGCTCGTGACACTGACCTTTTTATCTCAACTTAAAACCTTAACTAATTTATTGAAAACATTGTAATCTTTG